AAAAAAAAAAAAAAAAAAAAAAAAACGCAAACACTTTTTTTGTTTTGTTCAGTGCTGTATTTTTAGCACCTGGATCAATGACTAATATCTAGTGCATATTCAATAAACATTTATAGAAAATAATGAGATATGTCACGCACCATTCTAAATGACATACATGATCTCAACTGACAGTAATTCTCACAAATTCGTGACACAGGATTGATAAAATATAGCATGATTGCAGTATAAACTTCAATTTTTTCACACAACAGTAGCATTCACTTATTAGCATTGATTTTATGCTTTACTTTTTAGGCATGGTTTTAATTATATTGCTATGCAAAATGGTATTTTAAATATAACCAAAACGATGTCGTATGTGTAACTTTTTCTCTTTTTCCCATCAGTAAAATGTCTCTTTTTCAGACCACAGATAAGTATAGGAGTCAATGTGCATTTTGGAACTACTTACCTGACACCATGAATGGCAGCTGGTCTTCGGAGGGCTGTGAGCTGACATACTCGAATGAGACCCACACCTCATGCCGCTGTAACCACCTGACACATTTTGCAATTTTGATGTCTTCTGGTTCTTCTATTGTAAGCCAATTTTCCCATTCATATTTATAAATCTGTTTTTTTCTTCTTTATGTCATTCAAGAGAAGATTTAACTTTTATATGTTTTCTTTGGGTGTAAATAGCATATTTAATTTACTGATACAATCTCAACATTACCTTTTTTTTAGTCTTTCTTTTCTTACCTGCCTTCTATGACATATCTAGTTTGGATCTTTGGTTATTCTTAGTGTAAGACTTACCTAATCTATAATATCTAGTAGATTGTGTATTAAATATCTATTCATTGACTCAGTTTTTAATGCGGCTTTTAAGGACCATTTGTACATTTTAAAGTATCATGGACTTTAAGCGCTTTTGCCTTTGTATTGAAAGTTTATTTTTACTGATGACAAATTCATTAAAAATATTTGATACCTGGTCAGTAAGTATTAGCACATTCATAACAAATACCATGTTTTAATAATGTAGAACCCCGCAAGATTTTTAAACATGAAAAATCTTTCTAAGGTGAATAGCTTCATAATATGTATTTCACATCAGTAATATCTTGCTTTTACATTATATAGGTTTTTATTTTATATCCTTGTATTGGAATCTTTAGATTACAGGCTCATTTCCATACAATACTTAAAATCCATCAAATACATATTGTGACTAAATAAATCTGCCTAACCCTAATGTCAGTGACAAAGATGATTTTTTTTCTGAATGTTAAATAAAGATGCCTCTTAAAACCATCTGGTTAGAGTGAAACCATCCTTTCCCATTTCAAAGTCTCGCAACTATACTGTTTCGTTATTCTATATATTCAGCATTTCTGATACCTTTGTTTAATGTGTTTAAATGAATTACTGCATAGAAATTACTTGTTCTTACCACTGATAAAGCTGCTTTAATTAACCATTTTCATATTACAATAATGAATTGCCTTTCTAATATCAAGAAACTGATGGTGATAACATTGTTAAACCATGTACTAATATATACTATGCTTAGGGAAAAAAATCACTAATTACAGAACTTTTAAAGTGCTACGTGATTTATATCAGATTTTCTGAATGTTGAACATTTTCAACAGTACAAAATTTTCTCATCTAAATGCACATTTGTATTTTTACATTTTAGGAACAGTTTAATGTTTCACCAAAAAGGGAAGTTCATTATATTTTGTAGTTCCTTTGATGAGCTACTGAGTTATTCTTTTAACAGTTGTATTATTATTTTCCCTTAGGGTATTAAAGATTATAATATTCTTACAAGGATCACTCAACTAGGAATAATTATTTCACTGATTTGCCTTGCCATATGCATTTTTACCTTCTGGTTCTTCAGTGAAATTCAAAGCACCAGGACAACAATTCACAAAAATCTCTGCTGTAGCCTATTCCTTGCTGAACTTGTTTTTCTTGTTGGGATCAATACAAATACTAATAAGGTATGTAGATCTCCCTTACTTTCTATTTTTATTTTCTAAATTTTTACTTTCCTAAATATATATGTCATAGAAACATGAATTGGAATTAAGGGCTTAATAGGGCAAATACACGATATACTTTGTTCTTAAGGTGTTCCTAAGTTTGGGAATGCTAACATATCTGAGCAACTTGCTTAGTAATTCATTAACCACAGTGGCCCTCATTATGATGAACTGCAAAAACTTGTCAACAAACTGAAGAAATAACCTTATTTTGTTTTCTGTTTCGTTTTGGTTTGTTTTTACATGGGCGTTAAACAAAAAGAGGAGAGAGAGAGGGGAGAGAGAGAGAGTTGGAAAAAATGTTTATCTCAAGACAGGGATGGAACACAAAAGTGGCTAAGCTTCATAGGTTGAAATATGATGAATTAGCTCAACCTAGTAAATGCACTTTTCTAACCATTTTCCACCATTATTGATTTAGAGCCTTATCAAATAGTTCCCATCTTGAGCTAGTCTGGGTCATCCTCGAAGCAGACACTAAAGTGGGATAAAACAAGCAATAAATTTATTAAGCGAAATGGCTGTGAGAGAAAACGGGAAGAGAGAGACTTGGAGAGCCATCAGACCAAGATGCAGGGCTGAGCCTGAGTGAAGGAAAGAAAGGTGAAAGGATGAGTGAGTAGAAGCCCTTTACACAGCAGTGCAGTTCTAAGGAAAGCCCAGTTTGCCTGTCAAGGAGTCCTTTGAGAAGACCCTCAGCCAAAGTCACATGGCAGGTCTCTCAAAAACAGGAGTGTCTTGCTGTGCTTAGTCAATGGCTGTCAGCAGCCATCAGGGAATGTGAGCACATCCGTGGCTTTCCTGTATAGCAGCTGCAGCCCACCCTGCAGCTGGAGACCAGAGAAATGCATCAACATGGCCACAAAACATTAAATTGCCTCCATATTTCCATTCTTATTAGTCATCTTTCAAGTACTGAGACTAACCTTCAGTTATCAAGGTTTTCTTCTGAAGTAGATGCCACAAAGCACCTATTTTAAATAGCCTACAGGAGACTGTAAGCTCTGTATGTTTTTGTTTGTTTGTTTGTTTTGCAGTGGTATTTATAACACCTGTCAATTCTGTGTACCTCCCACTATCCTCCAAAGCCCAATTCCTCCTTCAGCTTCACCCCACCATCATCCTCACCACAAAACTATTCCTTACAGTGTTTATTTTCTATTCTATTTCACCAGTGTTTATTTTCAATTCTATTTCACCAGTGTTTATTTTCAATTCTATTTCGCCTATCAGATTCTTCCCATTTTAAAGCTGTATTTCAAATCTCACTTCCTCACTGCAGTGGTTTCCAAATTTTAATCACCATCCCCAACCTTATATAGTACTCTTGAATATATTTTAGTAGGTAATCTCATCATGTTTGAATTATACTCTATTTTATTAAGTGCAATAAGTGTTATGTTATCTCACCAGTAATAGATTGTGTTAGTTCTGTTACTACAGAAGTGTATAACTATTACATTTTCTGTTATTTTTTATAAGCCTAACTCTAGTTCTAAGTGTGAAGTCAATACTAATAAATAATATTTAACTGAAACCCATCTCAAATTTACCTGATAATCTTGTAACTTCAAGTGATCATATAACAGATATTTTTGTAAAATATATCATCATTTGTCTGTTTTATAACTTCAGTGCCTTCTCTTAATTATTTATAAAGTTTTGTTTAACATAGTATTAGCAGCAATTTTCATTCTTTGAGCATGATTAAGATAAAGGAAAGTAAAGGCAGCTCCAAAACAGAAATCAACTCAAATCATAACAGTTACTGTGAGATGATCATGTGACCAATCCACAATTTATCACATAATATAAGTGTATAAAAAGTATAAATCTCTGGACAAGAACAGCAACTTAGCTCTATTACAAGACTGGTGAATGTTTCACATTGATGAAGCACAGTTCTTTTAAGTCAGTTGGAAATGGTACAGTTTAAAAAACTGACACCTGACAAGGATATTTTAATGTGACCAAGCATTATATAAAATGGCATAATTTATGGAGAAAGTCAAGATTTTATGTTACAATAATGTTAAAGTAAACATTGCTTATGGTTTCTTTCTTTGCTTTCTAGCTCTTCTGTTCCATCATTGCCGGGCTGCTGCATTACTTCTTTTTAGCTGCCTTTGCATGGATGTGCATTGAAGGCATCCACCTCTATCTCATTGTTGTAGGAGTCATCTACAACAAGGGATTTTTGCACAAGAATTTTTATATCTTTGGCTATCTCAGCCCAGCTGTGGTAGTTGGATTTTCAGCATCATTAGGATATAGGTATTATGGCACCACCAAAGTGTAAGTTAAGATGATCTCATAAATATTTGGAATGCAATTCTGAATAAGCTTTGTATATCATTGAAAATTTTGCTTTGTTGAAGTACATACAAGCATATATATATATATATATATATATATATATATATATATATATATATATATTCACCACTAGCCTCTTTTTTTAAACTGAAGTTTAGTTAATTTACAATGTTGTATTAGTTTCAAGTGTACAGCAAAGTGATTCGGTGATATATATATATATATATATATATATATATATATATATATATATATAGATTTTATCTCTTATTTACTTTTCAGATGTTGGCTTAGCACAGAAAACAACTTTATTTGGAGTTTTATAGGACCAGCATGTCTAATCATCCTTGTAAGTACATATAAAATTGCAGCTAGAATTCAAAAAAAGTTACAATTTAAGGGTGCTTAAAATTCTCAACAATCTGGCATTACTTTGAGGGGAAAAATAATTTTGAGCACTTTACAATAAATCATTTATTAATACTGGACATATATTGCATCACTATTGAGAAAAAATGTACATTTTAAACTCAAAGCTATTATACTTCATTTGCCCCTCTTGGGAGGATGTATTTTTGCATTACATGTAGAAAAAGCATTTTTCACTTATCAGTAGTATCTCAGCATACTTTAATACTGAGAGTGTGCCAACCAGCTGATAATCTGGCATTTCAGATGTTTACGTTATTTAATCTTTTATCAATGATCAGTGATTTTTGAAGATTAGACTGTCATCTTTATAGTTTTATCATCTTTATGTACCCTGTCATCACGAAAGTGATTTTAAACTAAATTGCGACATCAGAGACAAGAACCCACTATTTCCCATGAGCAGGCAAGTCATATATTGATAGCCCTATTTCAGCTGGGAAGAGGGCCTTTTAATTCTTATTGGAAGTGGTTTCAAACCTACAAATTTGGCAGGTGTTATATGTTCCATTCTAAATAAAGACATTTTTATATGTCTCCAGAGCATTTCTAAGTGCCAAAAGTTTTCAAAGCCTCTCTGAATATAATTGTCTGTCAATGAATCTGGGATGTCTGACAAGGCTCTACAATAGAATGAATTGTCAATGGAGGAGTTGTGACAATATTTTGGACAACTTTGTCCCATATGTTTTGACCATAAGCTAGCTATCTTTTTTGAATTTTTTTCCTCTCCCCATGTGTTTTTGTGTGTGTGTGTGTGGGGGGGGGGGGGTGTTTGTGGTCCGCGGCCTCTCACTGTTGTGGCCTCTCCCGTTGTGGAGCCCAGGCTCCGGATGCGCAGGCCCAGCGGCCATGGCTCACGGGCCCAGCCGCTCCGCGGCATGCGGGATCTTCCCGGACCGGGGCACGAACCCATGTCCTCTGCATTGGCAGGCAGACTCTCAACCACTGCGCCACCAGGGAAGCCCCTCCCCATGTGTTTTTATGGGTGTGAGGAAGCTGCTAAATGGAAAAGACTTGAAATGCAAAGCAGAGAATTTTCTTCAAGGTTTACTTTTTAATGGTGTGGGTGAAATAAAGTGCACTCAGTAACTGTATTTCCTAATCATCACAGAAAATTGTTTATAATTCTCACAGTGAATCTAGTAATATAAAAAGAAAACATTGGCAAGATTTCAGCTAAAACAGTTTCAGAGTTAGTTTATTTAGAATTCCAAAATTTTCAACCCACGTGAGAATAGAGGCTGAATGTGTCCCATCCATATATTTTCATGTGTTGCCCTGATATGAGTATTTTGTGTGAAAGCACTGTCTAAATTTCCTAATTTTATTGATTCCTTCTCTACAGAGTGGACCATCTCTCATATTGTTTTGTATAAGTGAAGGTTCTTTGGATCAGTGATTCTTAGAGTTTAGAGGAAAGTCGTGGGCTAGAAAGTTCCTGAAAACAGGAAAAATAGGAGCATATTTCTCTAAAGTAAGATTCCCTGAAATTATTTTTTTTTACTTTTGCTTCTATAAGGGAAAAAATAACTTTGGATTGTCTTATAGTAAGATGGACAGACTTTAGATGGGCTTATCTAAAAATGAGTCCTGTAAACTTTCCTAGAAGCCTAAATGAACAATGTCACACTGTCTTAGTCTGAAATTAATGACCCAATATATCTTCCATACGGTTTCTGTATGATAATCATTCCATTTAACTAGAGGGTCAGGCTACTTAAGAAATGGATAAGGTCTTTCGGTTGAGTCTAAAACTGAATACTGTTTATCTTTTTTATATCTTTGAAAACAGCAGAAATTCTTTAAGTAATTATTGAATGAAAGTGAATTCCTTTACTCTAGTGATCTCTGGCTTTCTGTGCTAATGCTGGCATATTATTACTATTATTATTATTATTATTCAGCTGCATGATACAACATTAAGTAAAAGTTTTCCTGTTGTCCCAGAATAGTATTGCATTCAAAGATAAAGTAAAAGAAATATTGAGCACCCAGACATTTGAAAAAGAGACACCAATGGTTTGGACCTGACACTTCCCATGGGTCTTTCAAAGAGACAGTAGGACCAGCTGTAGCCCAGTAAGGGGACTAAAGAGTGGGGCTGAGAGGGTCGTGTCTCGGAGTTAGGAGTCCTTGGCCTTTGAGGGAGTGCATTGTTCTCTATGAAAAGCTTTTCCTTACCCTGCCAGTGAAAAAAAAAAAAAAGTACTCCCCCATCTCCATGAAGATAAGTTCAAGTTGTGGAGGAGTACTACAAAAGGTCTGTAAAGAATGGAATCAGAAATAGTAAAACTCTCATTTTGATCCCGGATTGATGTGACTGTGGAATTTTCATGTTTCCTTGATATACAAGAGCAATATATGAACAATTTTTATGACAGCTTGACATATGTCCCCTGACTTTGGGTCAAGTGTGAACATAGAGCCTAGACTTGCTTTTAGTTTCCTGCAGGCTGCATGCTTATTGGACTATCCCCTTCACAGCAGGGAGGAAAAGGATTATTATAGAGTGTGCCTGGGAATAAAATGATGGGGTGAATGCACAAAGGCTTCAGCTATCCTATAAGCACAGAAAAGTTAGAGAGGGGAAGAAAAGTTGTAGTGCTGCCCAGAAGGTTGTCAGCTCAAGTGAAGTTATACACAGCAAGAAAATAGGCTGAGCACAGGTGATGTTGAATTGTGGCATGGCTGGCCCTCTCTGAAAAATGGAAGGGGCCAAGATGGAAATGAAATATTATAAACACTAAAAAGAATCACATAGACCATCTAAGTGTAAGCCATCACATAAGCCTAGATTACCGGCAGTAATAAGAACCAACCTAAACCAAAGTGATGTGAAGCTCTCTCCATCCGAAAGAGCTGATCAGACCCTTCCAGCCCCCATCAGCAGAGGAGCTGAGCTTTACCAATGAAGGAACATATCCTAGAATAAACCATGCCACCCCAACAGTCATCTATACAGATTTACTGAATTAAAAATTGTCATCCTATGTTTGGGGATATTCTGGTAGGACAGGATGCCAATCCATATCATTAAGGTCACCATGTTAATTGGGTGGTCTGGGCATGATGGGAGAACAAGGGAAATATAAGAATTACCCCCTGCCCACTATAGTATCAATGAGGAGAAAGCAAGATGAAACAAATGACAAAGAATATCATATAATAAAATATAAGTGATACCAGTGAGACGTGGAAGAGGAAGTCATCATGGAGATGAGGAGCTCGTTTGTGGATGGGGAGAGAAGCAGAGTATACTTTCCATACAGTGGATTCTTAGTGTGAACTTAAGTGTCTCCCAAGCAGCCCTGTAAGTGTGCCAGATTCCTTTTGAAGGAAAACAAAGGACACAGACAAAATGTAAATAAAGCAGTACCAGAAATCACAAAATTATCATCTGTCTTTTATTAAGAATATTCAAGAATCATCTTTTCATAGACTCATCACTCCCTAGTCTACATGTCATTAACTATTTACCAAATTTTTACCTCCATAAACTCATCCATTTCTTCTGTACTTTCACAGTCAGGCCTTTGTTATCCCTTTGAGTCATTGTTATTCCTTACTAAGATTATAGTATTAATAACAATAATAGGAATTTTTTTTAATTCACAGTTTGTTGAACAGCTACTAGTTTTAAAAACAGACAGCTAATACTTCAATACTCAATCTCCTTAAATCACCTACATTGTCATCATCCTAGTTTATAGTTAATGAAAAATAGAATTTGATTCAAAATGTTAGGTGATTGGCCCAAGGCCCTGAAATCTACAAATAAATAATGAGGCTAGAACTTTAAACTAGTTCTGTCTTAATCTAAAGTTCACCTTTTCATTTTAACTTGCCTCTTTTTCAATTGCCTTCTAATCTGTGTTTCTGCTGCCATTCTGTACCATTTCATTTTAATCTATCCAGAATAAACTGCCCCAAACTCAGCTCACATAATGGGAACAATTAATAAGAAGAATAAGAACATTAATATTAAGCTCTTGTATATTCCTGCTACTAAGCTAAACATTCTCCATATATTAGCACATTTAGTTTAATCCTTCAACAACTCAAAAATGTGTGTGTGTGTCTGTGTGTGTGTGTGTGTGTGTGTGTGTGTGTGTGTGGTTTATTTTATTTTGAAGTTGGAGAAATTGGGGCATAGAGTGGTTACACAGTTTGCCGAACAATTAGTAAGTACCTGAGCTGGAACTCACGTTCATGAAGTTGAGTCTATGACCTACCTTCTTAATCCCGTTGCAGATAGTTCCCCATTGCCTATAGTCCAAATACCATAGGCTGGTGTATAAGGTTCTCAGTAATTTAGCTGAACCCTGCCTATTTTCAGCCTTTTCTTACACTGCATATCTCCACAAAACAACTCACCTAAGAACTTTATCCTCTTTAGAATATTTGCCGTTCCTTGGATATTTTCTTGGTTCTTTGTACTCAATAATCCTACAACCTTGTGTAAAATTCTGCTGCCTGAAATCTTATCATTAATTACTGCACAACTTCATGAAAGCCTTTCCAGATTTGTAGCTAATCTCTTTCTTCAACCTGCTCCCATAGAATTTTGAGTCAAACCCGAAATAGTACTTTTAATGCTTTGTTTTGTTTCACATGATAATTTTCTGTCTGCATTACACTACTCATCTCCCACATCCAAATACCCAACATAGAGCTGTGAGTCTCTTGATTCACTGACCATAACTTGTTCAATAATCAATGCCACTTGTTGCATGACCTTAGGGGCCACAGCCCAATGAGTTGCAAACGAATTTTCTACACAGCCACATTCACAGTGCATTCTCTATGCATGAGTGGACTCTACACTGTAAAACTACCAGCCCTCTTACTGATCACCCCAGAACACAGAAGGTAGCAAATCCTTAATAATTATCTGTGTATTTTAATTGATCCATTAAT